AAAAACCCCCAAAAAAAAAAAAAAAAAAAAAAAAAGAACGTAGCTTCTGCAATGGGGCTGAAAGGAACAGAATCAAGAAACAGCAAAGGAAGATAAAGAATGAACGACAGCTGGGCTGATACTGAGACGGAAGGAGGCCCAAGAAACAAGATGTCTCTTGTTATTCACTGAATGCTTACTCTGTGAGAAACACTGCACATGTCATTGTGTGTGTATGTATCATTTTCTCTAATCCTCCTGCATTGTTGCAAGACATGTTTCATTGTCCCCATTTTACAAATGAGAAGACAGATTTGGAGAAGCTTAATAAAGTCAGGTGGCAGGACCAGGATTTGAACTCAGTCTTCTGTTATCTGCCGTAGCGTAATGCCTCCCTTAAGCCTCATGCCACTTAAACACTTCAGGGTCTTCCTTAAAACCGTCAGATCAAACCTCTGTATCTGGCTTTGTGAGAGGGTACTAGACTGGGAGTCCTGTTTTGGTTCTGCTACCTGCCATTCAACTGCTAAGAGCCTATTTCACGTTACGGTCCGGCAGATACTTGTCATCAAGGTCTGATAACGCTCTGGAGCTGGGGAAGGCCAAAGTTACGAAAAAGGTGAATCTAGTTGGGAGAACAGGAAGAGACATGGAAGGACAGCTGAGCGAGGTGAGAGAAACCGATCAGGAAAAACTGGAAGGAGTAACGGGGGAAAGGGAGACCAACAGATGGTGTAATAGTTATGTTGCTGGACTCCTATGTGGTCAACCGCAGTGCAAATCCTGGACCTGGTGGCTTAAAGCTCACACCAGGCACATGTGCATGCATGCCCAAGATCCTGAGAGGAGAATGGAGAAGAGATTGCAGTGTGGCCATCCTCCCCGGGGGTGATTTCTCATCTTCTGTCTCTTCTGGCTAGTGCACACACCCTACGGCAAAAATCTCTCTTAAAGAAAAAATATGGGACCAGCAGTTAGTGTAAGGGCTATGTCGCTAGATTCCCATGTAGTCGACTGTGGTTCGAGTCCTGGATCTGGGGGCTTAAACTCACACTAGGCATGTGTGCGTGTGTGCCCAAGATCCTGAGAGAAGAATGGAGAAGGGATTGTAGTGTGGCCATCCCCCCTGGGGGGTGATTTCTTGATTTCTGTCTCTCTGTCTTTCTGGCGGGCGCACGTGCCCCATAACAAAAAAAAAAAAAAAAAGAAAGAGAGAGCAGTTGACGTAATGGCTATGTCGCTGAACTCCCATGTAGTTGATCGTGGTTCAAATCCAGGACCTGGTGGCTTAAACTCATGCTGGGCATGTGTGCATGCATGCCCAAGATCCCAGGAGGAGAATGGGGAAGAAGGGATTGCAGCATGGCCATCTCTCTCAGGGGTGATTTCTCGCTTTCTGTCTCTCTGGCCAGTGCACACGCCCTGAGGAAAGGAAAGAAAGAAAGAAAAGGAAGAAAGGAAGGAAGAAAGAGAGAGAGAGAGAAAGGAAGAGAGAAAAGAGTAAATGGGGAAGCTCAGCGCCTGGGGGATTCACTCACCAGACTTGTAGTTTGATCTTCTTCCCTTCTATATCCACAGTGCGGATCTTGAAATCAATTCCTAGGGGTGAAGGATAGACACTGGGATGTGTATGTGTGAGCATGTAAAAGTTTATGGGGGGGCCAGCGAGTGGCTTGGTGGTTAAGCCACTGGACTCCCACATGGCCAATTGCAGTTCGAGTCCTGGACCTCGCATCTTGCTTTCTCACTTTCCCTCTCTCTCTGGTGAGTGTGTGTGCCCTACAGCAAATTAAAAAATAATACATAAAATTAAATAGTTCTTTAAGAAATGTGTATGGGGGAGGACAGACTGGGGTGCAGCAGAGGCAGCACCAGAAATTCTGCGGGAGAGCAATCTTGTTGGAAGTGTAGAACTGGAATTTTCTGGAAGCTCCATTTGTATAGCAAGCATACTATTTGGCCTAGGTTTTATAGATTTTGGGGGGGAGGAAAAAGTGATGAAAATTCTACAGGGAGGTTAAGGCCCCCAACCCCCTCTTGGGTTCCCTTAGCTTTGCTGGCTGGCAACTCTCTAATTCAGCCTCTGTCTCCCCAAAATATTACCACGTTCCTCCTCCCTCCTGTTTTGTTAGAATCCTCCACTCAGTACTTCACCGGCTTTGGCTTTCCTCGCTCTAGGGGGTAAAGAATAAGGAAAAGGCAGCTGATGCCATTGGATGCGATTTAACTAGAGGAACAGGCTTGGAACTAAAGAAGCCTGAGGCTACACAGAAGTCCTCCTAGGACTGAGTTAGGAAAAAAGGGGCATTTTTCCTTCCTCTTTGTAACCAGAATTGTCTTGAGACACCCTGTCTTATTTCCCAGGCCAGAGGAGAAAGATGGGGGGGGGGGACAATGTTCTCCTTATTGAAACTTGGGCACCTCCCTCCAGCCTGCTGTTGGCCCCGGGGAGGACGATGAGTCACCAGGCTGACTCAGAGACCCCAAAAGTCCCCTCATTCCCACCCTCCTCAGCCGACTGCAAATCCATGATCCCAGTCCCTGGGCCATCCTCCAGGAAGCCCAGCCTCTCCCTCACCCTCCCACCCCTACCAGGTGAGGGGCAGGGAGTCTGAGGAGTGGATGGTAAGCTGGGGATGGCCATGGGACAGAAAGGCTGGCAGAGCTGGGAGACAGCTGCTGGCGAGAAGGAGACAGGAAATGTGGACAGTGGACCAAGAGACTTCTAGGTGGATGGGGGTGGGGGAAGAGGAGCCTTGAGGGGAAAGAAGGGTTCGTGTCCGTTTGGGGAGACTAGCAAGGTGGTACCAAGAAGAGGCTGGCAGCAAAAGAACAGTTACCTGGAGGCCTCAGAGAGCTCAGAGGTTTAGGTACCATCCAGAGGCGGGTTTGGGGGATGGGTCTGAGACAGAGGCTGAGGGACTGGAGTTGGGAGCCTTACTCTAGACTGAAGGAAAAGTAGGGTCACGAGGAATCCCGGAGCCTGAGGATGAAGGCGCGGGGCAGTGGGGGTCTGGGACACGCCGGTAGGCTCACCGATGGTGGAGATGTAAGTGCTGTTGAAGTTGTCCTCTGCAAAGCGAATGATCAGACAAGTCTTGCCCACCCCCGAGTCCCCGATGAGCAGCAACTTGAAGAGGTGGTCGTAGGCTTTGGCCATGGCGGACACTGGGGCGCCGGGGGAGGGGTGGGGAAGCGCCCGGCAGGGTAGGCGGGATTGGAGGGTTGGCAGACAGGGCGGCCGGAGCCCAGGCCAGGAAGTTTTCCTCCCTCTCCGCCCAGGCTCCGGGAAAGAGGAGAGGCGGCCCCTCCGGACTGC